AAAAGGTAAAACACAAATTCGGATAAGATGACAGCAGAGATTATGTAGGTGGAGTTAACGCCTGTCAATCAAACGATCGGCCATACTAAGAATCGGTGAAGATGGAATTCAATCCCATTCTAGTCAAAAATTACACTGGTGATAACTATGTTCAGAATAAAGTAATTTGACTGAGATTTTCAATATATTCTTCTTTCATCATCTATTTTTGAACTGTTATAGCAAGAATGGTTAACTCCTTATCTTTAATTCATTGTATTAATTTTCAAAACTTTATGTTATGGAAACATTGAAAATTGTTTGCTATTACTTGAACTTGTCAAGAAAATAGGGAAGTGATATAATGTGTTATTATAGCTATATTAGAGAAATCGGTTGGGCGAAAATAAGCGCGGTAAACGGATAAACTACTAGATTCATAATGACAATGAAATGCTCTCGAGGAGATTTTTTAAAAAGCCTGGAACTGAGTAGGAGAGAGGGGTTATGATTTATTTAAGATCCATAACATTTGTGAAGTACGGTCCATTGGGGTTTTGGGGCTATTCATAAATATTTGCTGAAGCTCCCCCGCATTCAGTTTCAACGGACTTGAGTTATGTACCCAACATATAATCTAATAAGATGGTCTATGCATACTTGCATATCATCATTTAAAATACTCCAATGATATTAATTTAATTTTCTGTTCTATTTATGGTTATAATACAATAAAGCAGCTTGCTTTGTTTTTTCATCAATTGGTATAACAACTATATTAAGTATTATTGTATTATCTCTATCAATCCAACATTTATTTATTCAACATTGTGAAAAATGTCACAGACATAATGGATACAGCGTTTCATATCATTGGTTATTAGGAATAATTCAGTATCTAAACTGATCTAATTTGGGGTTCTTTTTATACTTGGAATCAATCCATTTTAAAAATATAGGTCTTCCATACTAAAGATTATAGTCTAAATGAAGAAGAGCTTTGGTTAATAATGATAGGGTATTATAATACTTTACCTTGAGTTCATACTACAGATTGGCAATATTCCTAAAGTTTAAGGGTCGCCGGCCTAACCTCGTGGGATTCTCCGGGTTCGCCAGTTGCCTCCGGTTGCAAAAGACCCCTACGTATAAGCGAATTATTGTGTTGAGTAGACGTTAACCCTCATTCCTCTTCATTTCTCCTAAATTGGATTGTAGAGAACAGCAGTTACTGTTGTGGCTTCGAGTGTACGGAAACGTAAGGACAAGATAATTTCGGTAATAAAAATCAATCCTTAATATATCTCGTATATTTCCATGGTGCATTGTGTTCCTTGAAATTGTATTCTTTGCTATGTGGTAAAATTATCTGCATTGATAGAAAGCTTCAGGTGATTGATTGGCTCCAATATGCAATAGTTCTTCCGTGACAAAGAAGCGTTAAGCTGAGATTCTCTGTCAACTCATACATGTTGTGACCAGTCTTAACCTTTCCCAAATGTTATTTAGTGCATTAATATTAGCTATTTATGCGTCAAGATATTAGTAGTCTCGCCTGTGGAAACGTGTTTTATGTCGATAAATATATCTGAATACAGACACGAAGACAGCTAATTTTACATTGATGGAAATTACACAAAGTTTTGTATTGTTCTGGAATATAACATATGGCGCCAAACCCCAGGCCTAACATTATATGGGTATATAGATGTCGAATCTACTGTAGCAAAACCAAACACACTTATACGGAATTTCTTTCAACATAAATGAAATGAAATGGAATTTAACGTCCGACTGTTCTGCCCCGACTGAAGACGGGCATACGCCATACAGTGTGCTATAACGGTAATTTGCCCGTGCAGCGGCACTATGGCCTATTCTTATATCGAATTCCAACTGCCAAGGGATCTTTTCCGTGCACGCCAATGTATACACGGGTACTCGGTTTCTCGTTTCATCCGAATGACTATTAGCTGTCCTTGCCAGGCCCTCCGTCCTCGCTGGGTTGGATGGCCGAATGGTTAGCATGTGTGCGCTGTATCATAAGGCCTGTCATTGAGTCAACTGGCGTGGTTTCGAATCCCCGGTTGTACGTGACAAGGAGATTGGTCGCCTGTCTAACTTCGTGGGTTTTCTCTGGCTCCTCCGGTTTCCTCCCACTGCTAAAGAGCCCTACGAGCAAGCGAATTATTGAAATAAAATTAAACCATATGTTAGTCCCGAAATTACCTAGTTTGTGTCGAGTGGACGTTAAAGGCCATTTCTCTCTCTCTCCCTCCGTCCTCCACCATTGACAAGGAGAAAACACAGCGGAAAATCCCGACGAATTTTCTCGGCCAATGCAGGGATCGAACACGCGACCCCCAGGTTAGCGAGCCAACATCTCACCCACTTGGCCACAGTGGCTCCCTTTTTTCAACAGAATCATCGAAAACAAAATAGCATGCCAAATAAGTCAGATTAAATACTCTTGGTTTTAAACTAAATAAAAATGAAAACACAACACACGAACAAACACAATAAGACGACATTGTCTATATTCTGCACTGCAGCCTATTATCAGTTTGAAAATTGTCAATTACGCACATGTTACTTCCGGTCTGGCTTATTTAACGAAGTCATTGACATTTGAAGAGTTTGTTTCTCGCTACTTCTGACACTAAATTAACATTGCTGACCCACGAAACGACTTGTAACAAATCTCCCGAGCATTTATTCGTTACAAGAACCAATAGAACGCCCACTCCATTTTCAATTGAAAATCCCTTGCAAAAACTTGTTAGTAATTGACTAAAAAAAGCAAAAAAATAACAAAACAAAACTATACCAAATAAGGTACTATGATGAAGAAATTGCTTTATAGTAAACCTGCGTTTAGTCGTTAGATCTTGGGAAACATTAAAATTAGATATTCAAACCTTAGTCCAGGTCATATTTCGTGCGAATTGTACGGCAACATAATTTCTTAAAGGGACTATCCCGATTTGAACAGAGTCTCAAAAATAAAAGTCTGAGTACGTATGATATTTAAGCGCCAAAATATAGAGGAATGGTGTATTTACCCTGCCTCAAAGTTTTAGCTCAAAATATTAAGTCGTTTGGGCGTGAACGTCAAAACTGCTTATCCGGACACGTAACCCTTTTAAGATTTCGGGTCAATTTTTTTGTTGGGTGAGCTGATAAACGATTCCCATTCCTTCAGAGGTCTATACAATGAATGACCCATGTGCTGTACTTGGTAACGAAAGGTAAATTTGACCTACACATTATTTTTATAAAATTAAAGCCTGGTTTTATCAAGACACCGCATAATACAGCTTAGGACACCAGTCTCCATTTCCAGATGAAGACTGGCAGGTTTAAGTTGTTTGAAAATATATCACATATATTGAGTTAGTTGCTCGGCCCTAAGGTAAAGGATTCTAAGGGATTTTAACACAAAATTGAGCAGTTTTATTCTCCAAAATATTATCGGGATTGGCCCTTTAAATCTTTTAATACGAAAAAAAAGAATGCATTTGTAGAAGTCATAAAGAAACAGATTTAAACTTGAAAACGCCGAGTCCAGCTAATTAAGAAATATGACCCTCCGGTCATTCAAGAGCAAACTAATAAAAAAAACTAAAAAAAACCCAAGTTACATTCTCTTGATAATTAGTAAACTAAATGATTGAAAACAACACTAGTCATGTAATAAGTCATACTGATCCGCAGTGAATATTTGCTTGGCCGCGACAATCACTGATAAGGATGACATTGATGCGGCTTAATGAGCTAGAAATATTAACTTTTTTCCTGCGACAAATTAAATTCTAAAACATTTTTTGTATATATTGGAAAAATAAATAAAGGCGTTTGACGTATTTGTAGGTAAAAATTATTTCCGATTTAGTGTAAATGGGTATTAAAATTACTAAAATGCAGCATTCTCTCCGAAGCAGTTATGTCTTATGTAAACAATGCACGCGCCATTCAGCCAATGATTCACACCGCGTGCTGTGACAGCACGTGTTAAGGCAGTCATCTATGACAGAGATATTATACGAGACTCGTAATTCTCTGTGAAACAGATTGGTAATAAGTGTCAGGTTATCTATTCTCATTCTTATAATGACTAAAGTCTGACATTTTCTACGATGATTCTTGTAATATATTGACAATATACTACAATGCTATTAAAACGAAATTAATAATAACAGCAAAGGGGATGGGTAGGCTAGACGGAAAAGTATCATTTTCTGCATGCAGAACTCATTTGTTCATCTGTGGCCATCTTTGATTTGGGTAAAATGTAAAAGCATCGATTTAATAACATGTGATTTGTTTAACGAAGTGATAATATTTTAGATATATGGATAGCGGCAATGTTGAAATATAACTATGTTCCGCAATCGACACAACCGTTTGATTTCCAATTAATATGTAGATCCTGTCCTATCACTAATGGAAATAATACATCAGATGAATCCAATTCTACAACTTTTAAATTTATACGTGATACTGGTAGCTAATAATGGTTTGGGTTTTTTATTGGAATAATTATTTATTTCTTAAATTCAGAAATTGTAATGTTTAATTCCGACAAAATCAAGTAATTAATGTTTAAAAACAGTATCACATACCTAAGTGAGGAACTACTAAAGCAAGAAATCCAATACCAATAAAATTTAATCATTACTGAAATATTTTAAATGAGTATATCCTTAGTGTATGATTAAAAGAAGCACTCGTATTACAGAAAGTTAACGGATTAGATATAACTCTTAAATATTGTGGGAATTCAAGACAAATTTATTTTTACGACATCCTTAATCTGTGCACTTTTAGTCTCTTGTTAAGGTTAGTTTGTTTTATATTCTTTGTCTTTCTAGTATATTGCACCCCTTTATAAGGAATAGCAAAGGAAATAATCTACGATCACATGTGTAGCGTTTGTTTTAAATTGCTTATTTTTGTATTCATTCATGACAAACTCATATTCTTATCTGATTAAAATGACAGAAAATATAAAAAAAACTTACCGGTAACGTATAGTTGTCGAATATCAACATGTATCTCATTAGCATCTCTGGTGGTATTAATTACAATATATATAAAACAATACAATTACAAACACAGCATTGGATGAAAAGGCCACAATCTGAAACGAACAATTTGTCTTTTCTTAAGTTGACGGATCGCCCCCGTTTACCACAATCAACCATTCAGATCACACGATTTACTCTCGTCTGTATCTACAGAATCTGTAATTGGTCAGGCTGATATTGACTTTTACCTTGAAGACTTCATGTATCGACTTCTGAAGGCAACAAACAGCATTGATGCCTTTCAATAAATACAGTCACTAAAAACACACTTAAGATTAAGTCTTTAAGTTAAAAATTGTAATGCCAGTTCTGAACGTCGGTGGTGTGCCTAACTCTTCACCTTTCGTCTTTATCGACTCATGTGACAAGACACACTATTCCGCACACAATATATATAACAAGAGACTATTGTTTTACAATAAGGCGATTAGCAGCTGGTTATGTCATCTTGGGGGCTAAGTAAGTACACGAACTACGTCCGGGAATTTATTAAAATATTTTTATGATAAATGGCCAATATATATAACCAAATCCAATTGAAAAAAATACATTTACGTTTTGTCCTAGGACGATTTTTAAATAAAGGACAATATCAGATTGTTATTCTTATTTAATCTGCTTTTGATAGTTGACATTTATGATTTGTAATATTTAATAGTTTTTCATAGAATCCGTCCAAATAAAACGCGGACATTCCAACTCATTATTATATAAAGCCGTTAACAACACATTTTTATGGAGGTTATAGTAAACACCAATTCCAGACATATATGAGCGTAGCAAGGTCTCCATAACCAGAATGGTGTCCAAAACTACACATTAGGACGTCTTCTTGAATTCAGAGAACATAGAAACTGTTTTTCATCAGATCAGTTGTAAATACTAGCATATTCTTTTGACAAAGATCTGTTATCGAAGACACACATTTAATGGTCTTATAGTGTAAGATTTGCCATATCTCTTTCGGCCTTTAAATCTGAGTTTAAATAGTAAGTGCTGGAGGACAGTAACAAACTATACAGATATACAACAACCGTATATCAACCCGTTTGTCGGTTGCGAGAGTTCATTGCGATCTACAGTCCCGAGTCTATGACGATACAGGCTTCTCTCAAAATGAAAAAAGAAAACTAAAGGAGAGAAAATGCTACAATGGATACAAGCAATATTCAATAGGCAGGATGCGATTGATCTTGGATGTCTGCTGAATGACGTCAGACGCAATATCAATTCTACCCAATTTTACTATTTATACAGTCAGTGTACTAGTCTATTACCGAAGTTTATTTGAGAATTAAATAATAATATAAGAACCATCCAACAATACAAGTGTTACCTATGTGAACACTCTAATGAATATTATACCAACATTTCGTCCCGGTTTACTTTACGATTGTTTGCATCATGCGAATAAACGGAACGAAAATATGACAAAAATGAAATGAAATGAAGTGGGTTTAAGGTCCTACTGTTCTGTTCCGACTGGGCTAATGAAGACGGGCATAAGCCATACAGTGTTGTATGAGGGAAACTTGGCCCGGACGGCAGAACTACGGCCTACTCTTATCCAAGGGATCTTTTACAAGCAAGCCAATGTGTGCACGGGGCCATGATTTTTTGTCCCATCCGAACGATTATATTATTACGCTGTCCCTTGTCAGGCCTTCTGTCCTGCATCACCACGCTGGAAACCCTAATGAATCCTAACAAGACATCATTTTAATTAGATTAATTAGATTTAGTGAACTCAAGTGATTGAACCGAGTTAATAGTAAGTGAACAAACAATTACACAAGACAAATCTACAGACAGGACACAATATACAGACACCGCAAACAAACACGCACATATCATCTCAAGTGAATGCATCCGCGAGCTAGTCGTAAGCGTCCACTTCGCTGTACAGTCCCGGGCCTGTAACGATACAGACTTGCTCTAAATGAAGAACAAACCAACAATAAGGGAAGCAAAACATGAAAAAGGGGAATATTTCCCAACCGTCGTATCATACTATAGTGTGAGTCATGACCGGCTACATTAAATCTAAATGCAGTTACATTGAAGGACAAACCCCTTCTAAGTAACCATTTTCGTGAAATATAGTAAAAAGCCAAGTAAAATTAAATGACTTATGTAGTATAAAAAAATAGGGATCATAATTATAAGCGTGTGAAGAATCCAAGAATATTAATTACAAAGTTAGGGCATAAATCCTTATTTCTATAAAAACAGCAATCTGATTAAAACACAGATCCTATTTCGCTTCGTTTTTTATAGCTCAAAATTTCGTTTTACTTATCTTCACTGCACTAGGATTTGGAAGAGTTCTTACCGTGATGTGCATTGATTAGTGGGTATCCCACTAGAAACATCAACGCTGATTTGTTAATCAAATGTCTGACGTCATATTGGATTCGTTTCAAAAATAGCAACTCTCTACTCCATGTCATTTACTATGTCCGTACTTCTGAATTTATGACTAATATATAGATTTATATAGACCGATGAGGACCGATTTTAAAAGAAAAAAAACATACTAAATACTACCCGTGCAGTATTTAAAATAAAGAATTCGTTTTAAATAAATTTTGGTTTGTTTTATTTAAAGACTGAAATTTTGACTGTGCATGTCTATGCCTATATATTGACCATAGGTAAAGGACATTTAAGTTGTATCTGGGTCAATTTCCAATAGAACACGGGACAAATTCTGCCAAGAAATTGTATGCGCGCACGCTCTTAATTTAATATTCCTGGCAAGTTCACATTCAAACAAAAATGTCCAACCGAGAAAATACAAAATTGGGTGTACAGCAATTATGAAGACAATATCGTTATATGATTGGAGTAACAAACCGCAAACTACAAACCGATTCCCAACCACTGTGCCTGTTTAAACGTGATCGCAACACCTTGGACAAAAATCTGGGTTTACCGGAGACTCCAAAAGAAATGTGCTATGAGGGAAATTTTGCCTTGGCTGTGGCGTTTCCTATTACTCTTCATTGAATTCAAACTGCCAATGATTCTTTTACGTGCACGTCAACATGTACAGGGGATCTCTCATTTTCGTTCAATCCAAAACGATTAACTGCATTTGTAAACGATGATTTTCTCCCCGGTTTGGCTTGTATAAAAACTTATAGATGCAAGCAACAAACTAAAACTAAAAGTTGATGATTCGTATTGCATGACACCAGGAAGATTTGTTATAATATAATCCAAAATGGCTGATTCGCTGAAATCATCACTTTTGAGGTCTGAGTCTAATCTCCTTCATGAGCTGAGAGGAGGTCGTAGCAAATAATTGATTTTGTTTTTTGAAAATATGATTAGTTACATTATATTTGACATTTGATTTAAAATGTTTTTCTTTCTTGCCAATGAATATCGAATAACTGTAGAAAAAGATGTGTCATCCTTTGGTTGGCCTATAGGTATTTGACAGGTTGCAGTGTGTGGGCTTATCTTCTCTTGAGATACAAGAGTGTTTCCAATCATCTTTGACTGAAAACACATACAGTGAGAAACCCCTATTAAATTACAGGATGTAGAGCGAAGTACTTGTATTGACCAAGTATAGACTGGAACCATATATGAATAATGAAGTCATTAATATATCTCCATATAATTTATAGTGATATTTAGAGACGTTGCAGTATTCATAGAGTCGGGAAAGGTCACTCACAAAGCAACTTAGAATGAAACATTTGCTTAAAGATGCGTTATGTAAGAGCTAAATCAGCCTAATAGATCTTTAGTTTGGCCTCATATGTTATATAAATCATTAATTATACATATATTCTTATGCCAAGCCCATAATCAACTCTCTAGACAATCGGGTGGTTTTGATTTGCAACGGATTTAAACACGATTGCTTGTCAATAATTCAATTAATAAATGGATAATCCAGACTACCTCTACTTTAAACGATCATAACTCCGCTCAACATATTCTCTTTTTATTATCTATGTTTTAACTATTATAGCGAGAACTGCCAACACTTTATCGAAATCTTGCATAATGCATCTTTAACTGTATAAATAATGTTATCGGAATGGCAACTTAAAGATCGAAATCCTCGTAATCACCTGTACCACTATAAGTCTTGGTTGAATTATGATAGCATACCACAGATTTCATACATATCAATGTATATAAATTATTTGAATTTAGGTGGTAAGACAAAGCTCAATATATATTGTGCAATATTTAGTTTGAGCCCAACTGCCACAATGGACGGCCAACTTCGTTGGCTCTTGCGCTTTCCTTATTGATGGTTTTGGCAAAAAATATCTGTCTAGAACAGCTCCGTCAATATATTGACATCAATACTTTTAGGCCGTCAATATCCCCCATATACGATCAAAAACACGTCAAATAACGTCAATACTATTGATAAAAATGTTTGTGCGTGCATTAAACATGCATTATGCAAGAGCTAAATCTGTCTATTGCAGGTCTTTCTTTAGGCCTGAAATGTTATCTAAATTATTAATTAGACAATCTTCTACTACTCAACGACAGTGACAATGAACCAACTTTGTTGGGAAACAAAGTTATAAGAAAGGGACCCATATAGACTTGACAATGGTCTCAACGAAACTGTTCCCCCGTTGTAATTGGGGAATTGGGGACGAGACACTAGGCAGTGACCATCAAGCTTTCCATACCGCAATAGCTTGCAACGCAAACACAAAAAGTACAAAATGTCAAGCTAGGCGGAAAATGGAACAGGTAGACTGGGATCTATACTTTATGGACCTAAATCAAAAGATAAAAAACAGTGGGGGGGAGGTGGTCATTGCATGGATCCCTTCCCATGTCAATATTTTTGGCAACGAACAAGCCCTAGCTAAGGAGGGATTGTCACTAATTTAACTGGGCAATTTAGAATATCGCAATCAGGAATTTGCAAGCATAGCAAAAGATAAGATCGAAATTGCATGGAATTCCCGTCTACAACAAGAAAACACCTATCGCTGTCAATCAAAGAATGCAAGCTCATCACGAAAATAACAAAGGAGGGACAAAACACTTTGTCTCAATACTCTCCTTCCCCCACCCCCAGATAATAGATATTGGACCTCTTAGCTTATCTATATAAACGCATATAAAGATATGCACAAAGAAGCAAGGTGGAATGTACCCCCCGCCCCTCCTTAGAGAGAAGCGTAAACCATCTGGCAACTAAACTAATCAATCAAAAAACACACAGTAGGACGGAGCGCAAAATTGTCCCCAAGAGGGAAACGT